GCTGCAAAGCTGCTCCAGTTTGATTGTACTTGAAACAAAGATGAAAGCACACATGTTTGGAGAGGGAACTTAGCCCTGGAACTGTGCAGTGGCAATGCTCCAGTGCAATGATGTTGTAAAGTAGCTATAATCAGAATTAAAACTTTCTTTCCAAATGACCTTGAAATCACCCAGTGAAAATACACAGAAATGCTGCTGAATCCTTCTAGTCAGTCAACAAACATGAATCTTAAATATGACCACTGGGTTTGGTATTCATAGTCAAATTTCAGTATCAAAGTGCTGTAGTTAGAGTACATTAATGTGGTTCTGGCAAGCAGCAAAAACCACACAGAATTAATTATTAATGAGTGTGATTCTGTCTTCCACATTAAAGTAGGGCTTTACCGTGCAAATTTTCACTTGAGTTAACTTTGAATTCCTCTTTCAGCATGGTCTTCCACATTAAAGTAGGGCTTTACCCTGCAAATTTTCACTTGAGTTAACTTTTAATTCCTCTTTCAGCATGAAAAAAAAATTAAAAATAAAAAACTTCTGTGACCCCAACATAAAATATGCATTTATGAATGCAAACAACCACTTCCCAGAGTAGATGCAACATTAACCTATAGCTTCCAATTCTAGTAGTACCCTTGCATATCTATGAAGAGGACATTTTTGCATCTAACTCCCATTATGAGCAACTGGAGAAATATGTTCATAAATCCTTATGTATAGAGAACAAATGTAGCCTTTAATTGCTTCAGTGCTCAGCTGCAATCTGACAGTTTCAACAGGCCACCTGTGCTCACAGAGCAGCCTGACCTCAGAAACAGTTCAGCCAGGGATTTCAGACAGGATCCAGAAATAAAATCCAAAATCCAATGCCAAAGTCAATTACCTTCACTTTACTAACACTACATCAGAGAGTCATAAACTCCATATAAAACGTCATAAATTGAAATGCAAAATACACATCCTATGCAGGTAAGAAAAAGTTCATTTTGGCACTTTTATTAAGTCATGAGTACCTGCTATGAAAGAGCACAAGTGTTTTAACTACTGTCTTCATGATGGAGGTAGTGAAAGTACAGTTGCATGGAAATAGTTACCAAAAATTTTGCAAAGTTTGTAACTGAATGACAAACTCCTTTCAAATTACCACAAATCATTAACTCTGTGGGTTAAAAATTGAACAAAAGAAGTATACACACTTTGCAAAGTCCACACGAGTGCAGCATCCTCACCATCACTTTTAGGATGGTGCCAACTTTTCAATTGCAATGGGACTTTAGAATAAATAAAAGGCTGATCACTCACCTTCATGGATTTTGAAAAATTCAGGTAAACACAAAATAAACACCATAATTATTCCCAGTGCTAATTTGAAGAGTGCTGGTTTTCTCAAAAGCAAGCACATGTCACTGAAGCACTCCCATCTAGCATAGTGGGGGTAACTTCCTTCCTGCTTTAGCTTTTAACTTAGTGCAGACTTTATGCAAAATATCTATTCATTTCCTTTTCTTATTATGACTTTCCTTTTCACTTCTCGTGACATTAAGTTGCAGAAAGCCACATTCTGTTCTTACATTGGCATAGATGAGGATGATTTAATTGAACACACTGAAGATAAAACTCATGCACCACGATGAAAATAAGAGAAAAATCATGCATAGAAACTATTTTATACATTTGGGGTAGTTTTAAAACCCCCTAATGGCCACTTTCATATACCTTCTAAACTGTTAATTCATTACCTTTGTGAAGGAATTTTGTCCTCATTTAGCCAAGAAGATTTAAAAAAATGAGTCAGACCCTCATTATAAAAATGAGTCAGAACCACATGAGTCAGATATGGAGATGTTATTGTTTTATTTATATACATATGCATTGGGGCTAGGGGGAAGATAATGTTATGCAATACAGAATCTATCAGACTTTAATAGACTATTAATGTGATCATTTAAAACTAAAGTTTCTGATCTGGCAAGTAAGTGATGTGCTAAGTACAATGAACTGAACTGTTCATATTATCATTGCTGCTGTATTCTTAAAAGATAACAGATGTGTTGCCAATCTGTCAAGTGCCTTCAGTGCTTATTTCACTATTCTTTACACCACAGGAAGACTGGGTAGAGCCATTGCTATTTCTATACATTGTAGTCACAAATTTTCAACTGAACTCTCCAATTTAAAAAGTGAAGTATTTCATTTTGACAACCACCATGATATTCCATAAAAATCTTCATACAGATGAGACTGCAAAGAACATCTCTGAAATGTCCCGAGTAAAAGTACTCTGTAAAATGCCTATGTAAAAACAAATAATTTGACTCAAATATAGAGTATATACACTATAAAGGGTTTCATTAATTCAGAAAGTTGTCTTCTGATGTAGCTTTTTTCCCACAACACATTTAATATTGAGTACTACCCAAATGAAGCAATGCTGTTGAAATTAAAATAAGAAGTGTCCTACAAACGTGAAATGCTCTTCTTGTCATCTAGTTTGTTCAGAAGTTGAGTAGGGCAGGGGGAAGCAAATACAATATTCATTCTATAGAGAGTCCTAACAAAGCTGTAGTGAATACAAACACATTTGTTAATATACTTTAAATGTAGCACTTTTATGCAATGAAAGCAACAAAACCAACATGAAATGAACTGATTTTTTGACAGTATGGTACAACAGAAGTAATAGGATTAAAAAAATGATCACAGGTATGAATTTAAGTCATTTTATACAATTTATATGTTATCTGTTAGCAAATTAGCTCTACTTTGTTTTTGCTAATTTGCACTGCCCCTTAAGCATCTTCCATATCAGTTACTCATATTTTCCTGTTTTCAAGGTTGCATGGTGTGCACACATACTATCTGTCCAGGAGGAATGAGGAAAAAACTGGGATACAACAAGAGGACATTGTCAAACAAGATGTGTATCTGTCCCTTTTCTGATACAGACTCTCATCACTGTTGGTGGTGCCCAAAGTCAGACTGAAAATTGCCCTATAGGATCCCACCCAAGTTCAGCCCGAAATCCTGTTAGCCTGTGGAATATATTGAGCTCCAGATTCTACAGGGGAAAGCTTCCAAGAGCTCTGCAGGGACCAGATGGGGAGTATCTATTTTAGAGCTATTGTGATGGCACATTTTAGTTTCATTTCTGAGTTGAGAGGGCTCACTGTGATCTGTCTGCACATCCCCCAGGGACACCCTGAGCTTCAGACACTGCAACCCTCAAGCAATTCTGTGTGTCAACTGCCTGAGTCACATGTGTGCCTGTGGCCTGGCCACAACTGGCCTGGAAAACACGAGTTTTCTCTCTTGGGGACAAGTTTCCCTCCACCTAGCCAATAATTTGTACACAGCTGGAACAATCAGTACCTTTGAAAACTCTAGTCTGGTTAACACTGGCTCAGCTTTAAAGCCAGCTGGGATGAGAACTGGCAGGCAGGCGAAGCACACAGCCACTCAGGCCATGTTTCCTCACAGAATTAGGCAAAGCAAGTGCTGTGCACCTCATTACTGCATCAAACCCACACCACCACACCTCAGCGTGGCCTCCTGCACACTGAAATCAGTGCTACCAGTTGGAGGCACCTCTGGCTATCACACAGGCTACTAACTGGGAAAATTATTCTATCTTGGATTGCAGCAGTTGCTGGTCAGGCATTGCTTGGTGAGGGCAGGAAAGGCTGTGTGTGTTTGCCCATAAAGTGGTGAGTAGCAGCTGCCTCGGTGTTACACAGGGTAGAATCATAGAATTTTAGGGGTTGGAATGGACCTTACAGATCATCTAGTCCCAAACCCCTGCCTTGGGCAGGGACACCTCCTCACTAGACCAGGATGCTCAAGGCTTCATCCAGCCTGGCCTTGAACATTGCCAGAGCTGGGGCAGCCACCACTTCCCTGGGCAACCTGGGACAGTGTCTCACCACCCTCACAGGACAAAACTTTACAAATATCTAATCTAAACTTCCCCTTCTTCAATTTGAACCTGTTACTCCTTGTCCTATCATTGCAGTTCCTAACAGAGAGTCCCTCTCCAGCTCCTTGTAGGCCATTCAGATATTGAAATGTTGCTACTATAAGGTCTCCACACAGTCTTCTCTTCTCCAGGCTTAACACCCCCAACTCCCTCAGCCTGTCCTCATAGGGGAGATGCTCCATTCCTCTCAGCAATTTTGTGGCCTCCTCTGGACTTGCTCCAACAGTTCCATATCCTTCTTATGTTGAGGGCACCAGAACTGTGTGCAGTATTCCAGGTGGGTCTCA